CTGGGAAGCATCGTTTGAATTACAGGTGGAACTGACGAGGATATCAAAGCGAGAATCGGGAAGGCAAGACAAGCTTTCATTACTCTCAAGTCTGTGTGGAGGTCAACAGCACTCAGCATCAAAAATAAGATCCGGATTTTCAACTCCAATGTGAAGTCAGTGCTACTGGCGCGTCATAAAGAGCATCACAAACAAACCTCAAACCTTCATTAACAGTTGTGTTCGCTCAATACTCAAGATCAGATGGCCAGAAAAGATCAGCAACGAGGCTCTCTGGCAATGAGCGAACCAACCAGGAACCGATTGTGCAACAAATAAGCAGGAAGACATGGAGATGGACTGGCCATACTCTGAGGAAACCATCAAGTGACATCACTAGACAAGCCATTGCTCGAGTGGAACCCAGATGGGAAGCGGCGAGGTGGTCGTGCAACAGTCACCTGGAGAAATTCATGTGAAGAGATAAAAACATTTGGGCAGACTTGGAGGCAGGTGAAAACTCTAGCAGAGAACCGAACGCAACGGAGATGCGCGGTTGAAGCCCTGTGTTCCTCAGGGATTAAAAGAAAATAATAATAATTGGTTTCAGATATCTTGGAAATGACTAGTAGGCACCTTTTATTCATTAAATCACTAGGAAATGTAATTCACTGACTGTAACAATTTAATGAAAGCTGGCGTCACATCCTACTGTATTTATCAATTTGAATGTAGGTGTGTACACACATACACAGGGAGCACTCACCGATCTCTTCAACTAACTGATTCAAAGAATATTCCTAAATGGCTCCAGAAGCTAATAGAATCTACAGAGCCCATTAATGGTGCGAACAGGAGACCTAGCTCCTCCATTGCGAAACATATTATAGAAATAGGACATAAAACTGACGTTAAACACCTTTTAAACCGATCTATAAGACGTGTTTGGGGCATATCCTAAAGTTTGTAGAAGCCCCAGCTAGCAATTAGAAAGTTCAAACCACCTTTATGCGTTGAAAGCAACTATTCGTCACCACACTGAACCTTCCTTGGTAAACTTTGTTTTGGTACCAACCAGGGTAGATGTACTATTACCTCTGTTATTTTGTTTAGTGATCTTTATTGTTATTTTGACCTTCAATATGTCCTTTCAACTTGACCCATGCTTATTTTCTCACCCTTCAATTCTTTATTATTTTCAGATATATATATATATATTACTATGACAGATTGTTCGAAATGTGTTGTGCTCGCAAACACATTACACAATTCAGACAATTTGTCAAATTCATAAATTAAATTAAGAAATCCCAGTTGAAGCATAAAAACAAAGAAATCAGTAAAGAAAATTCTCTTTTCAACGATTTCATCTTTGTAGCTGCACATTCGTATCTATAAACATGAATTACAATAGACAACAGCAATCAGTTTTTTGTGTGTATATGTGTGTGAGTGTTAAAGTTTGACAGTGAGTAGAAATACTAAAGTGCTATAATACTGGTGTATAGGATTATGAGTCACAATTGATTAGATATATGAATGAATAACTAAGTAAATAGTTATTATAAATTATTTAAAATAATCCCAGCATGTTTAAGATAAAATCAAAAGATTTTTCTGAATATTTCACTGCGTAAGCCACAGCTTCTTCAGCAAAATGATTCGGATTTTATTGATCACCAAAGTATATAGTCACAAATTACATAAATTGAAGGCATTTCATTTGAAATATTTGAAAAATTCGATAGATATTTGTACCAATAGAAAATGACTCGGCACTCAAATTATTCCAGGAAATTCGTAATATCTACGGTCTGGAAAACTGTAAGTAAGCAGAGGTCAACCTAAAGTTCAATAGACGACATCAGTGAAATACATGATCGGAAAACAAAACACATTTGTAAATGTTAATATGTGAACATTGTATGGTGGAGACATAGGATGAGTGAAATTTTGTCAAAATAGCAGACTAGATAAAAAATTAAAATATGATAACATGAAATGAAATAAAATAAAACAAAAATAGAACATGGAATAAATAAGGATAACAAAGTTGTTATATGAATTACATAGTAAAATCAGGACCATAGTAACGAAAGAGATCGTACAAACTGTTTTTGTGCACAAAGTTCTGGCTTTATGTTATGTATTGCTAAAGTCTCTGCTATACAAAGTGAATGCACTCGTGTACCTTTCGGTAAACTTTGCTGGACTTTATAGGCCATATTAAACGATATGACAGGTGCTGCGTGGTCAGTGTCTGCAATATGTTGCAATATGGATGACATAATACCTCTATGTTCTACTCTGCCGAGCCATACTTGGAGATTGTCTCGGACGTGGCGGCGGGATATGTTTCTCTACGAACATCCCTAGTAAGTAGCTCCGCAAGAGCAGGTAAACATATAAATACACACTGAATTAGGTAATCGAGGTAACACTTCCTTGACATTAAGGTGCATAGGTGATTCGTAAAGTGTCAGCAAAGAAGGTTTTTCACAATGATCTAATCAGACGATTTTTAAGGAACTCACTTGCAGTGTCAACTCTAAATTCTACGTTTAGGTATGAAATGCTTTCTTAGCCATCTTATCAATTTCTGTATTTCTTCCACGTAATTTGCTATTGGTCTCTACAAAGCGCGGTGGATACCCGGCCTCTATGAACATTTCTTTCATTTGTTGCAGCACATCATCAATACCATCTTCACAACAAATTCTTCTCACCCGTGTTGAGACAGATTGTAAAAATTGGTCAGTTGTCCTGTCCGCGTCAATTTTCTGTAGATAGATCTTTTCAGAGACCTGCCAGCTCTCTTTGTGAGTAGCACATCAGAGAAAGATATTTTTCCTTGAGTTTCTTTTTATAAGGTGAACCAGAAAGCGGGATGACTGTCACTGAATACTTTCAGGATGTCATTCAAGTTGCAGTCCTCATCACATATAATGAACATATCGTCCACATATCTTCTTAGAAGTCATGCCCGTTTATAGCAGGTGTCACAGCACTGCTCTATATACCACCCATAAGAAGTCTGTTAGCAAAGAACCAAGTGGCAAAGCCCATAGCTACCCCATCTCTCCTTCTATGGATTTCGTTATCAGAAAGATATTGGACATTTACAGTACATCGAAGCATGAGTTGTTTCAGGTGTGATGTGGGCATTCCTAATATTGTAATTCATATTTATAGATACGATTTTACAGCTAAGAAAATAAAAGTGACGAATTGAAAATTCTCTTGCAACAGAGAAAGAAAGATAAGATTTACAGTATAAAACGATATCATCATTCTATTTCACATATTCTCATACTCTGCAATACACTACCTGGAATTACAATGGTTATAAATAATGACAATAACATACTTTAAAGTTTGAATAATGTTAGAGAAAACACTATAAGATTAACGCATCCGGAATATAAGCATTACAATTTTTAGTTTAGCTGACCGTCAGTTTATATGCTTTCAAACTATGAAAAAAGAGGGGTTAGAGAGGATGGAAAAATCTAATAAACAGTGTTAGCTGGTACGTCTACATAGAAACTAAAGAAGGTTGAGGCTCACCTAATTGAAAACTTGCTCACTGAGCTGAGCTCAATAGTGTTTATGATTAATCAGTGCAATCAAAGCAATAAGGTTACCAAGGGAGAGAGAGACTGACTACACTGTTTCAGTGTGCATAAGTTTGGTCTGAAACGCTTGATTGTAAGTGCTTCAATAAATTGTAGTAAATTCACTGTCCTTTGTATGTTTTATATTTTGAAGAATTTGGAAATCTCGACGAAATGACCGGTATCCACAGGTTGAGTGTCTGATAATTGCACTTTGTAAATATCTGCTTCCTTTTAAGCATAAGTTTCTTGGAATATGGTCTGAAAATCTGATAGGAGCCCTTCTTTCTGTCCTTCCAATGTACTTGCTGCCGCAGGTGCACGTAAATTTATAAATGCAGTTGGAGGTAACATTAGCAGGGTATTTATCCAGTTTCGATTGGCTTATAGAGCATGTAGTGTTGTAAAGCATCACCGACTTAGCTGTAGGGAAGCATCATTTTATCGCTTCTTTCATCCTCTTGTCAATTTTTTGTGATACTGCTTCTCCTTTGAATGGAAGGCAAATGAACACTTTCTTCTTTTCAGATGTTGGATACTTCGCTTTCTTTTTCTTTTCTGTATTTTAAGGATAAATACCTTTGGATACCCGTTTCCCCTAAAGAATTTTTCATTAGAGCTAAATTCTTCTTCGACCTTGTTAGGCGAACATAGCTTCCTGGCTGTGACTTACGGTGTCCTTACTAATCCCCGTTTATAGGCTATAAGGCAGAAGCTGTTGTAGTGAAGATATTATTCATTCCAGGCTTCTTTTCTGTAGATGAACTTTTCGACCATTACATTAATGTCCAAGAAATTGAACTCGTCGTTGTGTTCGTATTTAATGTTTGGGTGGATCTTTGCTGAATTCATTGTTCTCTCTTTGCAAACTTGACTGGTATAATTTAGTCTGCACAGAAGACAGGGCTACACACACATCAAACTAGTTACTGACTAGCGTCCAATCAAAAATACCCAATACACTCCCACAGGAGGTCAATCGGCTGACTGCAGCACTGGGTGACGCGGGTTCAAATCTCAGAAGGGAGATGAGTTCCTTCAAGGTGCAGATACGCCTGGTTGACTGTTGAGTGCCAACTAACATGAAACCTAGGTCAAGCAAGGCTTCCTGTGGCCGATTGCCTCCAACCATCTAAAAGCTACATTAGTATTAATTGTTTTAAATAAAAAAATTATATGAACACTTTTTATCAGTCATTTGCTACTAAAGAGTTCCGTTTCTGTCATTGAAACATTGAATCCATATTATGTGTCATTCATAAGCTAATCAAATATGACAAGGGCATAGGGACAAAACTTTATTTCCTAGAAAAAGCAACTCAACTGACGTTTAGTCAATATGCATATATATATATATATATATATATATATATATATATATATATATATATGAAAGCAGTTTTGTAGACCTTTTTGTGGCACGTTTACAAAAGCTGTAAGTAATAATAATAATAGTAGTAATAATATTAATAATGATAACTTTACTCTGAAAAATGCGTTTATAAATAAGACAGAATTTTCAGCGAGTTTCACTGAAAGGCGTTTACTCCATTGAGCAGGATCCTCAGATCATGTAATAATCACTAATATATATATATATATATATTGCCCAAAACTTTATTGTTCCAGGCGAAGATTACTCCAGAGCTACTTCACAATATTCAAGTGTTGGTTTGTAGGGATTTGATTGGTTTCAGGATTTCATCATGAGCTGACATTAGTTAGAGAACCATTGGACGAAACAGCTTTCCAGTACTCCCAGGTTTTCCAATGGTTCTCTAACTAATGTCAGCTCATGATGAAATCCTGAAACTACTTCACAATATTTTCCCTTCGTTTGCGTCGAAAGATTCTCGGTGGTAGGTAGAAGAAACTTATTTCAAATAAGGAGCAGGTAAGAATTGTGACTTATCGCGGTAATTAGACCATTAAAACAATATGAAATGAAGTAAACACGATACATCTTGATGAGGAGTAAAATTAGGTAGCCCAGTAGTTGAGACAGGCCACGTTTTGGAAAGAAATTGGTTAAACATAGGGAAAAGTTAAAAATCGTCGACTGATCATGTGGCGTATAATGTGATTTGAATATGTCATTAGAAAAGTTCATTCCATTCTTGATTTTTTTTGTGGCAAAAGCTTCGAGCTTTGATGTATGAGTATCAATGATGTTGTTTTTACTAGATGGGATTGGTAGTTTCACAAACCACCTCCCCACTTTTCCAGGCTCACTAATGAGTGATATATCAGGCGAGTTTTAGGAATGCGTTGGCCAGAAATCTAATTTGAACCACCTATGTGGCTAGCGTTCTACATTAATAAATAGGTTTTAATATTCCTTTGCATGGTGTCTGTAAGGATTTAGCCGTAAACAAAAATACTTACACTATACGAGGTTATGAGACAAACTTGTTTCGTTTGATTTATTTTTTTAATTTAAAACAATTAGTCCCTTTTATAAATGTTGATAGTGTTATTAGAAGACGGAGATTATCTGAAAAACACTGTGATGTATTTGCGCTATACATTTCGAACAATCTGATTCCTCATACACTTACTTGTCAAGTCAATATATATGGAAAAGTTAAATTAAACAAAATGACAAATAAAGAATTAAGAATAATTAATACAAACGTTTGGTAATCCAATCAAATAAGGATTACCAAGGTAGGTTGAGAATAATAACAAACTGTTTTTGAATACACAAGGGGGGGCTTAAGTTTACAAATAGCTATAGCCTCAGCGTATTTCAGTAAGCACTTTTGACGTTTTTATAGATGACCTTAAAGGCTGAGTTGGCATCAATCTTATGGTTCATCTCGATTAGATGTTTAGCTATAAACGAAGTTGGTAGTTCGACACCTGCACACAATTCATTTGTTTTTCTAACCATTTTTGTGATATGACAAGTAAATGTTTGATCGGCTTGTTCGAAATGTGTAGCGCAAATACATCACATTTTTCAGATAATCTCCGTCTTCTAGTAACGCTATCAGTATTTTTTAATTATTTGGTTTTGATTTATTTGTTTTCTGTAAGTTGGTTGATTTAATTACGAAGCTCTTGATATCCCTCTTCTAGACAATATCTTCAGCACAGACTTTAATATAAAGTAAACTTGTTTGAATTCCCTATAATTATTGATATAATTGTACTTCCTGATAACCACTGTTGTTAGTGGTTGTGTTGTAATTATTTGTAATCGTAGTATTAGTATTTCGAGATGACCGAATTACAAGAATCCAACCAAAACAAAGAGAGGGCGGAATTCAGGAATTTGTATTTAGCGGAATTATAATGCAATTCATATAAGAAACATATTAACAATCAACAGTAAGTATTTAAACAATACAGCGATAGAAATAGTCAATCACCACAGGTTGTTAATTTATATCCTCACTGGTCATTTTTATTCACTTTAAATTTGAACTTGCTTATCATGTGATGAGTTTTATAAAACTCAAGCTTCAAAGTCGTGTGATTACAATTGATATGATTATGAACAATAAATTTTGTTCAAAATCTTGTCATCCAGTAAATAATACTGTTTCAGTGACTGTGTGATACATCTAACGAACAAACTAATATGGAATTACCTACTACCACAGTGCCCAAGTTTTACACATATGTTAATATTGCTTATCATGTGATTTATTTTTTTTATTAGTTGGTAAATTTGACTTATGTTGCGTCGGTGGCACAGTGGTTAGGACTCTCGCCGACCATGCACATGGTCCGAGGTTCGATCCCCTGCCGACGCACACCTGATATCTATGGTCGGCCTGCGAAATTCGGGCTATCGATATCATATGCTGAAATTTCCATACTTGTACCAAAAATACAGTGTGAAATCAAGCTGTAATCAAAAAAAGTAATGTATTTGTAATTCTCTGATTCATCTGATTACCAGGCTTGTAGAAATTCTCTGGCATTTTCGATGTTTCCTCTGTCTAAAATTTCTATACTCTCCCAATCAAACTGGTGTCCATGATTGTCTATATGTATCAATATGAAAGAATACAACAAGTCGTGCCGTTTCACAACAAATTTGCGTTGTTGGATTCTGATTCGGATGGGACGCCCACTTTGACCAATATCGATAGTGTCTATCGCAATTCACGCAATTTATTTATCAAATGGTATTGATCCTATCTTCTTTTGTTGTTAGATCCTTTGGTTTGTACAATATTGAATAATGAAGTGATTATGTTGGCTTGTGTGTTTTGTCTGTTTCAGACGGCCTTAGTATTCTAGCCCTTATTTCAGAGATACTCTTTATACATAGTAGAGTGAATTATCATGTGGTCTTTAACGATGATTTCTCGTTGATATTACGATTTGAACTTAAACACTTTCTGAAGAAATTGTATGGGGGTAGAGGATATATCTGTTTTATTCTCTTCAGCGCTGGAGTGCTACAGCATATTTAAACTCTTTTAAACAATGTCTAAACACAGTTTCTTTCGTGAGTCATTGGATTATTGCCATTATCGTTGAGTATTTCATCTGGGTGCATATGCTGATTTTCTATAAATTTATGTTTCTAAATTCCCTATGTAAGTTCTCTTCATATTGTTTAGAAGATGGACGACTAGAGCCGGACTTTCTTGTTACTAATTCTTTCTGGACATTTGGCATTCAATATCAATCCAGCGAAATGGGCGGCTATTAATAAAATTCTTCATTAGTCCGTTAGAAATCCTTCTCGTGACACATTGGTCTATTTTCTGACACATATAAAAGAAGTGAATTCACATTAGTGTTGAAAATCGGATTCTTGTTGCTTTTTCTGAGGAGGAACGCAGAAGACTTCCAAACTGGTTTCAGGTTGATGAAGGTGTATCTCGCCTTTCCATTTCTGGATGGCTGACTTTGAAATCTTCATCCGTTCCAACTGTAGACGAAACGATGCTTCCTGGATAGACAAAAGAAGGAAGTGAACTCTGTCAAATCTCTCTCAGTGATGGTGAATAGTGCTTGTTGTTTTTGTTGTTTCTGTTGATTGGTCATCTTCATCACCTCTGTTTTCTCTAGGTTCGCCTGGAGTCCTGTCTTCTACGACTGCTTCTTCAGCCAGTTCAATGGTTTTCGCCTGTAAATCCTCAAGTTTGTGTGACACTAGACTTATACCATCTGCGAAATCCGGATCTCCTAGTGTCTTATTATCAGTGGTCCAGCGTATTCCTGTCTTCTCACTTCCTATGCACAGTCTGACGCATAATCCAGTCCCCCACAATTAAGAATATCATCGTTCGTGATAATGGACAGCCAGCTTGTCTTACTCTTGTATTCACTTCGAACGTCTAGCTGGGTGTTTCGTTATGGATCACCTGACACATGCCACTGTCATATAGCCAACTGTGGCTGAATGAGATTGATAAAGACTTGGGCACTGCACGCCGTAGTGTTGAAGTGGTTTCCAAATTACGTCTCGGTCAACGCTGTCTGTTGAAGGCATTTTCGAAGTTGATGAAGTTATCGCGTGATGACGGTGCATCGAGTTGCGATTTAGTCAAAACATGACTTGCCTTTCGTGAATCCAGCTTGTTCCGGTGGGTGGCGGAGTTCTGCATTCAGTGCATCTTTTATTCTCTCCAGGATGATGCGACTTAGTATTTTGCTTGACATGGTGCACTATTCCTCGTCAGTTCTTGTAGAGAGAGGTGGAATTCGCCCTTCTTTGGTAGTTTGACAAGGTAGTCAGCCATTCTTCAAACCAGTAGGCACCTTTCCTTCCTTCTAAACCTTTTACAATAATGGAATGAGAACATCTGTCGCAGTCGCTGGGTATTTTTACAGTGCTTCGGTGTTTGGGGAATGCCGTCTGGCCCTGCTGCCTTTCTGAGTGGACTTCAGTAGCTTGGATTCAAGATTTCTACTTCCGTTGGAGGAATGGTGTCGACTGGCAGTTTCATGAATCGTAAATTCTAACGATTCATGATTTTGGCGCTACTTGAACCAGCTAATTTTATCTCTGGCGAGTATCTGTCCTCACTCCTGAACTGTTGGTGGTGTTCGCTGATTATGACTTCTCACTTGAACTCCAGGCCACTTTGTTCTGCCACTAGCCACTGGTGGGCATCAGATTCATATTCATAAAATTATTTGTAGGCATTTGATTTGTTTCAAGTTTCAACTCGGGCTGATGAACTTCCGAACCGGGACAAAACAGCCATCCAGTACTCCCTTCCGGTTTTCAATGGTTCCCTAACTGATATCACTCTGAGATGAAACTTGAAATAAAGCCAAAGAATAAGTAATAAACTTATACGCATAGAAATGATGAAAGAAATTTTCGGCTCAGGTGGAAGATATTTTGTTCCCTAACCTGTATAGTTTAACTGTAAAGCTTTTATGGTCTGCTTTAAGCGAAATCTTCAGCGCTAACATCATAATGAAATGAGCTTTCAGAAATTGCCATCAGTGCGATAATCT